GACGGCTGGACCTGACTACCAGCTCGAATGAAGCCGAAGGCCGCGCTGGCGCCCTTCTCCTGGGCAGCCGCGCATGCCCGCGCCATCCACTCCCTCTGGTTGGCCTGCGTGTCGCGCTGCCGCGGCTGCGCCAGGTGCCGTCGAATTCCTCCAGCGCGTGCCCAGCCGCAGACGCGCTGCCAGTCCGCAGCACAGCGACCGCCTTGCTGATGGTGATCTTAGCCAGAGCTGCAGACGACGGCCGCCAGCTGTCCTCCACCCCGTAGCCCTCGACGACCTGCAACTGTCGGTTCAAACAGGAGTAGGCACTCCAGCATGTAGGCACTCTGCTGGGCTGCTCGTCTCGCTGCCGACGCGAAGGGCGCCGCGCGCCTGAACTCCGGCGACGACCTGGCCCCGCACTGTCGACTCCACTCCTGCGCCAAGAGACCCGCTTCAGCTCGAGGCCTGCAGCGCGACCCCGCCGCCTCTCGGAGACGTCGCGCAGCTGACAGAGATAGTCCCCCTCGCGCTAGAAGCAGCACTCAACGGCCTGCTAAATGTCCCACGGCTCCGCGCCTGGCGCCCAGCGCCGCTCGTCGTCGCCAACCTCACGGCGCGCGGGTCGCGCCGGCGGTGGGAGTTGAAGAGAGAACCCTTCTGGGCCATCTGCTACAGTCACCATTGCCCGAGTTGAGCCCCCCTCAGCTTGGGCAAGACTGGCGCGCGCGCTGATCGGCGTGCCTGGCGCCGTTTGCACCGCTGCACCTCCATGCCATTGCCTGCAAGGACGTTGGAGCATATGAAACAGTCCAGCTTCCTGCTGCCACAGGTCGGGCCCTCCGTGGCGGCTGCGACGCCGCGCGCTCTCCGAGCCCGCTCCTGTAGATCCTGCGGGTCCAAGTTCCAGTCGCCCCCAGCGATCCATGCCCCTGGGGGCCGGGTCACAAGCTGCAGCAACGCTCCCAAGACAGATACATTCGGCTCCGCCATGCCAATCTCGGTCGCCAGGTAGACCGACATCAAATAGACTGGCACTGAGAGCCCCGCGTTGATCGCAACCACCAGGCAGCGACTGACAGGTGGATCCTTGCGAAGAGCGGAGGGGGCATCACGCCCGAGCGCTGGAGATAATGACGCGATAGCAACTCCAGCAGAAGTGGTATCAACTTTGGCAAGCTTGAGCTGTCCTCCGCTCACATTGCGAGCGGCCCATCGCGTGGCCAAGCTGAGCTGCTTGTCGAACTCAAGCCGATGCTCCTGGAACAGAAATACACTGAGCCGCTCTGCCTGCATCAGCCTCTGCATACCATGCACACAAGTCCTGGGCCTTGGACCAGAACGTGACGTTAGCCTACGCGATGTCCAAGTCCTCCAGCTCCGTTGATTCTGACCGACGTTTCTCGAATACCGCTTCGAGCGCCAGGCGGGGACGAGAGGCCCACCTGCTTCAGATAGGCCACTTTCGCTCGCGAAGCCGCTCAGATCCTCGAAGTGGGGGGGTGGTCATGGTGTAGTCCCTGGGGAGGCCAAGCCGGAACTTTCACCGAGAGTTCTGGTTTGCTGGCCCGTCGCCGCCGCGCCTCCGCTAGGACCGCGTCGCTGTCCGAAGCTTCTTCGATGGCATGAAACACTCCTGGATCCGATGAGCTTCTCGCAATTGGCTGGCTTGGAGGGTTCCACGTCTGCAAACCCTGCTGCCTCGAGCCGATCTGCCATCGTGGGGTCGTCCCAGTCGAAGGGAGGCTGCTCACGATCACCTGTATCATCACCAGCACCGCCAGCAGGCTGGGCACCACCCTGCGCTGGCTGAGCTGTTGCCGCTAGTTGTCGAGACTCCTCCTGCTGCTTGGCCTGCTCGGCGAGCTTGGGCTCGAGGGCGTTGCGCTCTTTGTCGATGGCCGTGCTGAAGGGCGAGGGCGGCGCCGCCAGCCCAACCAGGTGCTCGGAGCCTTTTTTAAAGTTTCCCCAGAACCTCCTGCATGAACCCGAGAAACTCGCTCATTGTGACGACGTCGTTCTTGCCCTCGCGTTCCTTCCCGAGGACGGGGGCTGCGCTGGCAAGCTCCTTCTTCTTGATGACCGCGCTGATCTCCGCAAGCGCATCACGATGCTGCTTCTGGTGCTCCAGCTCTTCGTCCAACTCCGCTTGCTTGGCCGCCAGCACCTCTCGCGCGTGCTGCACCCGCTCCGAAGCCTTCTCGAGCTGCTTCTCCTTCTTGGTCCTGCGGAAGGTGCAAGTCTTGCAAGGACTTCTTATCCAAATCAACCTTCGCAACCCCCATCTCATCATCGACCTGCGCACGGGGACAAACGTTGCTGAAACCGCTTGAGCCTATCCTGCCGACATGCCATGCTTCGTTGGGTTGGCGAGCAGCTCCTGCTGAAGCTCCCGCCTGGCCTGCAGAAGCGCCTCCTCCTTGTACGAAACCGCCTCGCTGGTGGACGACGGGATCCCCTTGCCCCACCTGCCTCCAGGCTTCGGCGGCGCCGCAGTGGACGGCTCCCGAATCCCATGAGCTGCACTCGCGTGAAACACCCAGGGCGGCGTTTTTTTCCACACACTGCTGGCACAGAGTGCGCCAGCCACGGTTTTCGTGCCCACCGCACCTGCCAGTGCACTTCCACTGACGAAGCGGCGGAAGCGCGACATCGCGGCGATCCTGGCTCGTGACAGCTGTGCCACTTCCAAGAGCGCTGCCACAAAGGTTTGAAACCTGGAAATGGCTAGGATGAGGAGGATGAGGAGGAGCAGGAGCAGGAGCAGGAGGGAGGAGGGAGGAGGGAGGAGGGAGGAGGATGATGAGGAGGAGGTGATGGTGGGGATACGCAAGGCGTGAAGAATCTGGAACGACAATGCACGAACACCTGAATCCTACCTGCCTTCTGGGCGTACGCGGTGCCCCACCCCTTCGAGAGCTAGCTCACGGAACAGCCAGAACCTGGGACAGAAGAACACCCTTCAGGAACACGAGACCCTCCGCCAGCCACACCGACGAACACCCGAGGGCACCCGATGATGACGATGATGATGTCGACGACGACGACGACGACGACGACGGTGACTTCATCGTCATCCTCATCGCCATCATCATCCCAGAATGCACAATAACATGCAACACACACACACGAATAACATTAGGGTGCCCCCCCGAACCCACCTCGGCCTGGCCGTACCACATCGGCCTGGAACAGACGGGCCGCCCCGCCAGCTGTCAGAGCGCCTAAGATGGCCCCAGGTAGCATACGATTGCATCCAAGATGGTAACGCCGCGGGAACACTTGCTAATTCGAAAAGACAATGACACCCTCCAGGATCCGAACAGCTTTCTGGGCATAGCTACAAAAGGTGCCTTCCCCTCCGGGAAGTGGTTTACACCTCCGCCCACCCCATCATTCTGGACCGGCCGTCCCGCGAGCTGTCAGAACGCCCAGGAAGGCCCGCCTTGCGCAGGACAGAAGATTTTCCTCTTGAGGTGAAAGTGGCGATGAGGAGCTCGCGGGATAACATCGTCGCCGCTGAACGGACGGCGTCAGGACGAGCTGCGCGTAGCAACCAGGAGGAGATATATATATATATATATATATAGATGTGTGTGTATTCATGATGAGTGGGGCTCGCGCTCGCGGAAAGTTGATGGGAGTGCGCGAGACAGCGCAGGGCATATCTTGGGAAGTTGATGACCGAACCCCCCTCCCCAGAAGAATCTGAACACGGGCGGGTTCCAGTGTCCGCGGATCCGATTTACTCCGGTTCCCCCTACAAATTCAAGAATATGAATTTAAAGCGGGGTAGACATCGGGTCCACCGTAAAAAACAAGGACCAGACGCGGATCAAGAAAATCCGAAATCGGATGCGCCGATGGAAATCGGATCCACAGAAACAGAAACCAAAATCATCATTGGATTTGAGCGAACTGAATTGGATCCCACGGTGGTTACCTCATACGCCTCTGCTCAACACTTGAAACAGTCGTTCTGAGCCCAAGGGGAAATAACTTTAGTCCTGGGGATGCAGATACCTCCAAGATGGCCCCAGGTAGTCCACGATTGCCTCCAAGATGGCGCCAGATGGCCGAGATGGTCTCCAGCATGCCTCCATGAGGCGTCAAGACGGCTCCAAGACGGCTCGAGGTGGCTACGGAGCCACCCAGTGATCGCCCCGAGAGGCCAGAATCTTTCCGACGTTCCGCGTGATGCTCGCCATCTCGTGCGTTCGCTTCCAATGGGCTCCTGGGGCTCGAATTGGCCCAAGAGAGCCCCAAGAGTGCCCAGAAGGGCCCCACGACAACCCCACGTTGCTCCAAGATCAACCCGAGAACGGCCCAAGATGGCCCCGTAGGCGAGCCTCGACACGGGGCGCTGATTCGGGACCCCTCACTTTGCCTTGACAGGGGGGGCGATTTGCCTTGACAGGGTGAGCTGATTCGGGACCCTTCCCGTTTTTTGTTTTTTCCGACCGTGGTCACAGGTCACTGACACCCGAAAACTGCAAGGGACCGGCGCGCCAGGACTGCATGAGGGATGGGTAGAGAAGGAGAAGAAGACGAGGAGGAGGAGGACCAGGAGAACAGCAAGGAGGAAGACGCGCCACCGAGGGAGCCTTTCACCCCGCCTGCAGCGACACAGTGGCAACCTGTGGAGTGGCCGCAGCGATGCCCCAAAGGGGCCCCCGAGGGGCCACCCCAGGAGGCGCCCTCAGGAGGCCTCTGAGAGATGCCAAGAGGCCCCGGCCTTCCCCTGCCTGCTAGCTACCCGAATCCTCCTCGATCCCCATCCCTCCCCACCGACTCTCCCCCTCCCCAGGCACCCGAGGTCATGATCTTTTCATCACGTCGACCCCCCGAGGTCTCGACCCATTCCCCGGGACCGGTTTTTCATCCTGAGTCATTGTTTGACGATCCCGAGGCCCAGCAAGGGCCCCCAGAGGTCGAAAATCATGAAAACCTCCCGTCGTGATTTGTTGTTACTCGAAGGGGTTTGGGTCCCCCTCTACCGTCGAATGCCCCACCAGCAGGGCTCACAGAAGCTTGTCCTGGGCGCTGGTGAGGACGTTGCTGCCGGTCAGGAGGCGCTGGGCAAGCACCACAGTGAGGAGCCCGAGGCCGCCGAAGGTGCAGAAGCCCGCGGTGGCGCTGTCCCCCGCGTGGGCGGCCGCCGCGGTGCTGAGTCGCACGCAGACGGCGAAGAGCCCCAAGGCGCTCAGGAGGACCGGGAGCGTGCGGCCGAGCCTGATAGAGGAACGAACAACGACATAAGCATGGAAACTCGGAGGTCCGCGCGGATTCCTCGGATCGGCGCTGGGGCCCCTAGCGGCGCCTCCGGCGCCGGCCCTGGCGCGCTCCGCGCGCCAGGGACGGGGGGTCCAGCGCCGGCCGATCCGAGACATCCGCGCGGACCTCCGAGTTTTTATGTTTATGTCATTGCTCGTTTCCCTACCTGAGGCCTAAGACGGCGAACAGGGCGCTGACGGTGGAGACGACCACCCAGCCGAAGAGATCGTACACCGGGTCGTAGTCGTCGGGCAGGCCAAGGAAGAGCAGGTGCGGCAGGGCCACCGTCACCGCCGAGCACCCCACGCACAGGGTCCACGTGACGAGCTCCACGGAGCTCCACTTCCGTGGGGAGCGGGACAGCGCCACGGCGGCGCCGATGGCCGCGGCCCCGCACGCCAACAGGCTGCCCGCGGACCAGCGCCACACGAAGGCTTCGCCGGGGCCAAGTGACGCCACCAGGGCCAGGTTGCCCGACCAGATCCCCACGAACAGGTTCGTCACCAGGACGGCGCGGTATGGATCCTCTGGGAGCTTCCTCATAAAGAAGACCGCCGCCGCGGATGCTGGGACGATGGTGAAACAGAATAGCTTCAGCGGGGAGGGAGGGAAGTGCTCGAAGCCACCCTGGGCAATCGAGACCTGCAGGCCGACGGCGCCCACTATGGTCGGGAGGTTGGGCCACAGCACACCTGCCATCTGCGGCGCGAGGCGGTCGATGCAGAGCCAGAGGGCGACGCCGTAGGCAGAGGTCAGCACGATCCCCGCGACGAGGTTCTGCCACGTGAAGTACGCCACCATGCCCCACATGCCGATCTGCATCAGCAGCGTCGCGACCATGGCGAAAATCTGCAGCGGGTCCACCTTCACGGAGGTCAGGCTGGCGCCCTGGGGCGCCATGCCCCCAGGCAGCGCACGCACCAGCTCCTCCCAACACTGGAAGGAATGGCCGCGCACGTGGGCTTCGAAGCTCCCGCGGCTGAGGGTGATGGACACGGGCAGCGCCAGGGGCTCCTCCTGCTCGCACTCTGCCACGCGGCCCATGCTGTCTGGGAGCGGGTGGCCAAGCGCCCGGGCTGCACGGCGGGCAAGGCTCGCACAGACTCGACGCCTTGAGCCAAAATGGCTACGGACGGGACCCCTCCCGTTTTGATTGGTAATCCCCTGGGTCGTCACAGAAAGCCTCCGAAAGAGTCTCAGGGGAAGATTGCCGCGAACGCTCCTAGAATGTCACCAAGAGCGCCGCAAGATGACTTTGCGAGACTCCCCAGGTTCGAATATCGTTCCCCGCGACTGGACGAAACATGCGGAGGCGCACGCAACCAAACGGGCTGCGTCGATCCGCAATGGCAGAAGCCATAGAACGCGCGCTGCATTGAGCGCGCTGGCTGCCCCTGGATATGGGAAGCGAGCCAGCTCGGGCGCCCAGAGAGAGAGAGAGAGAGAGACAGAGGGAGACAGGGAGAGAGAGAGAGAGAGAGAACAAAACAAAGAGGTCGAGGCACCCACACTCAGCCGCGCGCGCCTAGAGTCGATGTTGCCTCACTGGCTCAGGACTTTCCCCCACGCCGTCCCCGCCGAAATCTCTTCTGCCTCAACGTGCGCGCAGAATCCCGCCAGCATCACAACGTTGTCATTGCCGTACTCCTTGCCATCGGCGTCCCTGCCGTTGTTCATCTTCTTGAACACGTCCACCGCGCCCGCGGCGTCCATTGCAGCCGCCTTCTTGAGGCCGATGAAGCCATGATCCGCCACCTTCTTGTAGCCTGTCGCCCACTCCTCCGCCGTCATCCTGCGATCGTCACCCGACTTGTCCTCGACAGTGCCACCACCGCCGTCGATGAGGGCGAAGGCGTCGTGCATCGCCGCGCACAAGATGAGGTAGATGCAGAGGGCGCGGAACTCCTTCGCTTTCACGTAGTCGTCGCTGTGAGACGTCTTCGATTCTGCCGCGCCCTTCGCATCTGCGCGGGCGCAGGCCGGAAGCACTTCCAGATGCGCGCCCCCTCCTCCTTGGGATCTCCGTCGCATTCGCCCTGCGCGAAGTACAGGTTATCAAGACCTTCTGGATCCACCCATCCACTTCGGCGAGGGACACGTGCCCATTGCCATTGGGATCGCAGGCCGCGAAGGGGCGAGCGCGGGCCTCCTTCCCAGCCGCGCTCTGCAGCGCCAGGCTCGCGAAAACGTCGCAGAACGTCTTGCACCCAGGGGACGTGCCGGGGTGCTTGAAGTCGGACTTGTCGCCGCTGCTCAGGTAATTAGTCTGCGAGCTCGCTAGAGCCGTTGCTTCCACTGCAGTCCTTGTCGCATGTCTTCCAGACGGTCATCGCGGACGACTCGGAGATGTTTTGGCCCCCTTGCTTGGGGAGCGCCTTGAACTTGTCCAGGCTGACCTTGCCGCTGCCATCCTGGCCCACCATCATCGCCGTGGTGGGGGCGCCGCCCAGCGAGGAGGCCCGGCGCGACGGTGGCCCGGCAATGACAATCACGGACAAGCAGACGGGCGGGCACCGTTGCGGGCCCCAGAAGAGGAAAAGGGAGGAGCACCATTGCGGGCCCTGCAGGATGTGAAGAAGCACCATTGCGGGCCCCAGACACAATAGAAGAAGAATAAGAAGAAGAAGAAGAAGAAGAACGGCCCGGACGACTGGCGTCCGATCCGGCAGCAACAGCGAGGCCCAGGCACGGGCGCTCCCAGGCGCGGCTGAGCTCGCGCGTGTCGACCACACGGTCACACATGAAGCATTCCCATCAGGCATTCTGCGTGTTGAAACCGAACACGCGGCAACCAGAAGCAGCAAACAATCGATTGCGGCTCAGGAAGCCAGCCCAAAATTGGAGCCGGGTCCTGGCCTGGAGCTGGCCCGCATCATCGAAAGCGATGCCTCGACGAGCCTGCCTGGCAGGCTGGGCGGCTGCGCGCGACGGATTCAGGCACGCGGGCGCGCCGTCGTCCGTCAGCGTGTAGATGGTGCAGTCCCCCTGGGCAAGTGCACGTTCAGCGGCAGCGAGCTGGGCGCGGCTCTCCTGGGTGGCGGAGAGCTCGAGGTCGGCCTGCTCCAAAGCGCTCTGGGCGCTGCCGTGCAGGGCCAGACACTCGCTGAGAAGATCGGCGCCAATGGCGCGCTCCTCGACGTCAATCAGAAGAGCTCCGACACAGGCAGTCGTGAAAACATGGTCCATCTGAAGCTTGCAGCGGGCAGGCGCCGCGAAGCCCGCGCCGTGCTGCTCCAGTAATTACCTTGATCACCGCCTACACGAGCATGCCATTTTCCTTGAGCGTCTGGCTCAAGACGGCGGCCGACGCGTGCAAATCGGGCAGCAACCGCGTGCCCGGGTCGCTCTTCGCAGGGAGGCGCGTCTGCGTTTGGATCTCGTAGAGAATCGCCGAGTCCACGATGCACGCGCTGCCGCAGGCCTCGCGGGGAGGAGCATCGCAGCGATCGGGCCGCGCGAGAGTTCGCCACCACTTGAAGAAACGATCGTAGAACAGCCGGCCGTGCACCAACTGCTTGCCAGACACCGCCGGGGGGAGAAAAGCATGCTCGCAACGCCGCGGGGTGGCGAAAGCGTGGGCGACGCCCCAGACCAGCGCATGCTGTGGCGGCAGGTCTTCGGGTTCGCCGTCGGCGCCAGGGGCCGAGCCGCCAGGGGCGTCGTCGCCCTGGGCCGGGTCATCACCGCGGCGCGCGTCGAGCGTGCGGCGTTGCACCGCAAGCGGGAAACGCTGGACACGGCGCGCCAGGGCCGCGACTCGCTGCACCTCGGCACAAGCAGTATCACGGGCGCCCTCGTGCGCGGAGCGGCCCCGCTTGGCGGCAGCGTCGGCTCTATCGTTCCCGTCCCAGAGGTGGGCGTCCATTGCGGTCCGGGCGTCGCTGCGTTCTGCGCGAACCTTGATCTTCATCACCACCACGCGCCTGGCAGGGCGGGCGCGGAGGGCGCCGTCGAACTGCAGCCATAAGTCGCTGTCAGGCCGAGCGGCGTAGCATCCTGGCAGGCCGCGGCCTGCAGTTGGGACACGGGCCCGGGCCTCGTCGACCACAGACTTGTTGTCGATCCAAACACGGAAGTCATGATCCACAGTGGTAGCCAAGATGATCAGCACGAGTGATCGTTTGAAAGAGACCTGGCAGAAGAGACCACCAACGATGCCACCGGAGTGAACCGTCAGCCTCGCACCCGCGGAAAACCACCCCACTGCCGGCCACGCGCCACCGAGCGTCATCGGCAGGATCGGCGGAGCCTCCCTGAAGAAATCCACGCGCCCATCGTCGTCGACGCACAAGCGCAAACCGAGCCAGTCTGGCGGGGCCGCGGGCGCGCAATTCTCGAGGCGCGCCCAAAAAAATCGCGCCACATCAGTAAGTTTGAACAATGCCGAACGCGGCGAGGGCATCGTCAACCTGAGCTTGGTCAGCAGTCTCTGGGATGTCCGCCCCCTCCACGCTGCGCAAACCACATCGTCGACACCTGTGGGAAAGGGTTGCAACCTCGGCGCCACAGGGACACGCGGCATCAACCTCGTCACCGGCGATCTTCGCGAATTCCTCCTTCGCGCAGAAGAGCCTGGCGAGGCGCGCAAAGAGCGTCCCGGCAGCCAGGTCCCCAAGATCACGACTGTAGTCCAACGCGGTGGCCACGTCGATGCGCCCCAAGTTGGCCAGCTCTGGGTGGGCAGCAGCGGCGCGTCGGGATGCGTAGTCCGCGGTGGCCTCGGCGATGAAGCACTCGACCTCCTGGCGGCAGCAGGCCAGCAGATGGCCGCGCGCCCGGCCAGAGGGGTCCGCCAGGCGCCCCCCCCCCCCAGAGTCCAGCCTGCGTCCGACCAAGTTCTCGGGAGGAGCTGGATCGGCAGAGCGTCGGGGAGCGAGTGGGCAGCAACGCGCACTGTCAGGATCCTCGCGGCTCTGCCTGCCGCGCCTTGGCCGGACCGGGAGAGAAAACTCCGCGAGCCCAGCGTGCCACGGCAAAGAAGGATGCCGAAAATCGAAGTTTTGGTGAAGCTTTTGACGCCACCCCCAAACAAGCAGGTAACATCAGGATTGCGCTTCGTCGTCTTGCCCTTGCGGGGCTTCAACACAGCAGACGCGCAGGACGTGAGAGTGCACGCAGTAGTACGCTTGGAAACGCGTGACGCGTCAGCACCCCAGACAGCAGGCTGCAAGGCCCCAGGGGCGATCATGGCAACACTTCTGACCCGCGGAATGGACGAAACCCCTAAACAATGCAAGAATGCTTTGGCCTTGTGGGCTCGTTCAACCATCGTCGGCGCCGCGCGGGCATGGCCGCAATGAGCACCGAGTTCACGCGTTTGCCATTGGCAGCCGTGCGCCGGGCGTCCTTCCGCGCACTCTTGCCAGCAGCCCCAGGGCCACAGGGGCGTCGCCCAGCTCTCCCGCTCGCACCATCTTGCGGGTCAGCTTCTCAAGGATGTCGACGTACTCGCCCGCGATCTCTCCCTGCTCCTCATAGGGGGTGCCAGTCCAGCTCCGCGGCAGGTCCTCAAACATGGAGCGGACGCCCTCGATCAGGAGCTCGCGGGCCTTCCTCCTCCGCTCTGGCCCCGTGGGATCGCTGGCCGGGACCCCGAGCAGGTTGTTCAGGATGCACTCCGCCTCGTGGCACTTGTTCTCCCCATCCAAGATGGCCGATGGCAGGGGGGTCTCGTCCTCCCAGGTAGGGTCGAGCGGGGTGGCCACGTTCTGTCCGCTGGGAGGTTCGGAGCTGGCACGGCGGGGATGCCTGGCTGGCGTCTGCCCCTCATCACGCTCGCCGGCATCCCTCGCTCGACGAGCTCGCCGGCGCTCCTTCGCCTCTGCCAGCTGTATCTGCAGCTCCCTGATGCGCTTCTCCTCCTCCTCCAGGACGCCCACCTCGGCTGCTTTGGCGGCCTCGAGCTTCCTCCTTATGCTCTCCAGCTTCATGCTGTCTGCTGAGCTGCCGCCGCTGCTGGATCCTCCGGCGGGGGCCTCACGGCCCTGCTTCTGGAGGGCCTGAGCGGCGGCTAGCTGGAAACGCTTCCCCCCAGGAGGGGGCGG